TGTGCTCCCCAATCAGGTCCAGCCTCCAGATGATCAATGAATGGATCATGACTGCCATGTGGATCAGTCCTATCCCCTCTTTCCCCCGTTTCCTGGGGATGTCCACAGGGGATGGGATGGGGCCAGGCTGGCTGCAGCCACTAGCCCTGTGTCCCAGCTTTGCTACTCACCTGCCCGCAGTGGCTGGAACTCCTCCATCTTTTGAGGTGGCCATTCTGGGGCAGATCCAGCACTTTCCTCCTCTTCGTTCACCCTGGCCGGTCCGGTCACATTGGACTGTCCCTCTGCCATCTTGCTGTCTGGATTTGAGGGCTCCTGACCCAGGGATGGGAGAGAAGGGGCAACACCAGGGACTTCCTCCTCCTTCTTTACCCTGGCCTGTCTGGGCACACTCTGAGGTCTTGCTGCCATCCCACTCTCTAGCCTTAAGGGTTCATGACACAGGGACTGGAGGTAACTAGGGAAAACACAGGGTCAGCAAGGAGCAAGGCAGATGTGTGAGGGATCCTCACATCACCACTCTGTCCTATGTTTTTCCATCATATACCATGTTGTTTCGTCATATCCCAGGCTGTTCTGTCATATCCCATGATGTTCTGTCATGTCCCATGATGTTCTATCATGTCCTTCGGGAACTGTGGGTGTCACTGCCAGCACACATATCATGTTGGGTCACAAAGGGCACTGTGACATGCTGCCACGCCCCATGCCATCAGCAGTGCCCATGTCACAGTATGTCACAAGGGCCCCTGTAACCACATGTGCCCTGGTGCCTTCAGCTGCCCCGTCTCCTCAATGCTGTTGGCCAGTGCATCCTCAGGGACTCCTACCAGCTCATCTCTCAGGGCTTCTTGCCATCTCATCTCCTCGGGGACTCCCAGCAGTCCAGTTTTGAGGGCCACCCACCAGCAGCATTCCGTTACAGTGCCACCAAGCCTTGGGCAAGCGGGATCTCTGAGGCTGCCTCAGTACAGATGCACTCTCACTATGAAATATTTATTAATATTGCATCTGTAACTAATTATTGTCTCAGGTGGGGAAGGGGCCACCCCCCAGAGATGGCAGTTTTGAAGGAGCACATGCTAAGCTCCTTATTGGTTCACTGTATTCAGCCTCCACTGCTCCTGCTTGCTCTTCTCTCACATGGTTCAGATCCTCGACAGTCCCTCTGACAGCATGAGAGCATAGCCCTGAACAACAGCCAAAATGTCTTTGCTTTTATTCACTTTCCTTCAAGCTACCTGTTTGTTGTTGTTCATTTTGGAAACCAATAGGAAACAAGTTCCTTAAAGTGTAAAATAGTTATTTTGATTATTCATTTTCCCAATGCTGTAAAACTTTCACTTCAGCTCAATGCCAGACTGTTAACTGAAGGACCTGTGCAGATGAAAAAGGACAAACCCAAAAGCTTGAACAAGTTTTCACCCTTTATCAAGACAATTAAATGAAAATATTATTTTCTGTGACATATTGGCAAAAATTTCCACATTACTAACCAGGGGCTGACTATACTCCTGTTTTGTTTTTTTTTTTTTCTTTCTGTACAGCCTTTTGTTTTTGTTTTGTTTTAGGTCTAGTAGTTAGACTTGGGTAGGAAACATGTATAGGAAAGTGTTTTCTGGGAAACATTAAAAATTATAACATTTTAACAGCCTAAAACAAAAGCATGCCCATCTGTCTCAACAAGTTCAAAGGACAAAAGGCCCAACATTTTTGGTGGCAATGAAAGGAATAACAAAAAAAGATAAAAAGATTGAAGCAGAAAGAAACAAAGAAGTAAGCCTTAGAAAATCAAGAACACATGTCACGTGAAACAACCATTTCAAACACTGTAATCATCAAGTAAATGGGAAATCAATCACTGAGCCAATCTTCTGCTGTTATAATTATTGCAAAACACAGCAATAATTTTCAGATAAGTACAGTGGAACTAATATATTTAGTAATGGAGATATTTTATGTGTTCCCTGAAGAGACATCAAATGAGTAATAGTATTTTCTGAAGCATTTAGCGGTGATTTTGGTTCTAAAGGAAAGTGTTGTTTCCTTGTAAACAGATTCATAAGACTGTGCATACAATATGTTTTTATGTTTAGGTTATGGATGAGATATGAGATGAGTATTAGAGCCATACTGTCACTGCAAACCCAACAGTTTCCAGGCAGTGCGGAAGAAGACAGGTTTGGAATCAAATGCTCCACAAGGCGGGTTTGAACACCCTCGTTTCCTGTGGTTCTGTGATGAGACCTACCCAGGTGAACACATGCTTGCCTGTGCTGGGCTTCCAGTGAAATATTGATGCTAATAAATTAAACAGATTAAAAAGAATTAAACTATCCAGAATGCCAGTGATTTCAAATTGAACTTTGAAAACTGTAGTGTTGATTTCAGACCAGAGGAAGATAACAGCTCCACTGTTCTTCCCTTTTTTTTTCCCAGCTCCTACAAATGGTGTTTTAAAATTTTCATCTTTTTTCTTATTCTTTCATGGTCAGGCAAACATTTATTATAAAAACATCAGGTCACCTAAGCAAGCATTTTCCCTTTTCCACCATTTATCTGAGGGTGGTTATTGCTCTCCACTGGGTTCATACCTAGAATCAGACTGTCAGTGTGGCAGAAGGCTGGGCATATGTGAGAGCCCAGCAACCACAGACACTGCTTTGTCATGGCAAATGGCCTATGCTCCTCCTTTCTCAAAGCATTCCCACCTCCTTCTCCTTGTAAAGGAATATGCAAATTTTGTCCTGCACAAATACAATTAAGATCTAAATCTCAGAATAAAACATCAACCTTGTATTCTAGCCTGCCTAAAGTAATATATTTGATTGCAATTTCCATCATTTACTGTGCTATCTGCTAATTTTTTTTTGTTTACCCTCTATTTTCAAAACAATTTTGTCCAATAGATTTGCCTAATTCTTAAACAATTTCCTTGCTCTGACCTTAACAATGGTAATTTTGTGTGTTGGCCTTACAGAAGCACACACAGTAGTCCTCAGCTAATACCTGGGAGTGCTGAGTGTGTTTCAGGCCTCTGAATTTGCGAAATATCTGTTCCCATAAACAGCAGAAGTTCAGAGAAAATGGTTTGTGCTCTTTTTCACCCATTTCTCTCCACGTACTGAAATACCCTGAGAATTATATCCCTCTTTCCTTCAATTTAAGCTAGAAGTTTTAAGTGTTAACATGCAGGGAAAATGATGGGAGTGGGGCCCAGGCATGAGGGATGACAGTGTCTGGGCTGAAACTGAGCCTGGGAAAGGGGGAGGAGTGTTGAAATTTTTGCCTTTGCTTCTCAGTGCCTGAATCCATAATTTAATGTTTGTGTTGACTGACAAATGAATTAACTCCCCTGAGTTCCAGTACAGGAGTGAAATAAAGAAATGCTTCTCATAAAGGGTGATTGTATTCATCAGCAAACAAGGAGCTGTTATTTGACTGATCCAGCATCAAGTGTGACAAGACATCTAGAAGTGATATTTCCAGGAAAGTAAAATACCAATGTTTTTTTGCCAAAGGGTCAAGGCCAAATTCTCCCCACACTAAAATGTCCTCCTTTCTTTTTTATTCAGGTGAGAATTGAATCTTGCTACTTTCAATATTCTTTTACATTCAAAAAGAGATTTAAACTGTCTTTTGTCAAAGGAGAGAAAGATTATGGAAGCAAGATTCTCCGCCTACGCTTGGTTTGATTTGGTGTTTGTTTGTCGGATCGGTTGGTTTGCTTTGCTTTCTCATGGCCTAAAGTATGCAGAAAGGTAAAACCCCTGGCAGGTGGATGCCTGGAAAGGAGTTAAATGCATAAGGAAGCACACTTTTTTCCCAAGATTTGACAGAGTAAACTCTGCTTTGTCTTCTCCTTTTGCAAGCCTTTTGCAAGTGTTCACGATTTCTCTATCCTGAATACTGATAACAGATGCCTTCATTTTTTTGTTTTCTTTTACTTTGGCTTAGGTGGAGAATGTTTTCAGGTTGCCCTGATAAGAAGACATTCTTTACTGAAGGACACAGAAAACATATGAAGGGAGGTTTTGCATCTATGACATGCCCAGGTCCCCTGTACTTTCCTTGATACGAGCTGCAAGATCCAGATGGCCAAGCTGGTATTCCTGCATAAGAAAAGGGAGATTATCTTCCAGTGGTAGGCAAGAAGTTTTTCCAGCAAGCTGAGGGATGCACAAGGAAACACCCGAACCCCAGCAGCTCTGCAGCATTCGTCTGTCTGTCTCGCATGCTCCTGTGCCTCATAAACACACAGGCTCACAGACACTCATCTGGATGAGGAATAGTCCACACCATTTAGAATAGCATTTCAAAATCATTTCTGAGATACCTTAGGCAGTTGACTGAACTACCACTGAAGCAATCAGAATGAGATGTAATAATTACTGAAAGCTCCCCTTAATCCCAGTCTTGTTCTTTTGCCACAGTCCTCACTACAATATTTCACCATGACATTTAGTCCTCCTGGAGCTACTCAGAAAACAAATGCTGTTTCCCCTTGGAAGAGAGACAGTAAGGCTTAAATGGTCATAGATTATGAGAATTTCTTCTGCTTGAAGTACCTGGCCTTGGCACGTTTCCACCAGCTCAGCTCACTTGAGGGAGGACAGAAATCCTGGCAGACCTGAGCAGCATGTGAAGAGACAGGGTGACTCAAACAAGGATGTCACAGCTTCAGTTTTACAAGACTTGTGCAGACATCACATGGACCAGTTCATAGACATATTCAATGAAGGCTGGGGAATGTACAGAGAGATTTTAGAGTCAGGGAGGGGCGGGTCTAGAACCTGAAACAGTGTTCACAGACGAAACAAACCCAAATGAGCAAGAAGAGGAAGAGGCAGAAGTTGCATGTGAAGTTCACATCAAGTGAATTATTTTTTTAATCTCAAAACTGATGTGCATTTTCAGGGCAGTGACTTTTTGCTTTGTTGCTTTGTGCAAGGCAAAGTGTAAGGGACTTTATATTCTCTCCTCCCACACTCCAAAATCCAGAGACCAAGATGGCCACCTAAGTGTTGGTGAGCAGTTTTCAAACCTCTGTTTTGAATCCACTGAACTCAAAAGCATGGATACTCCGTATGTGTTGTTGCAGGTAAGATTCACTTTTCTTGATGGGACTGTACCTCCTAAGCAACTATTTTTAGTTACTTGAGAGTAAAGCTTGGAGTCTAGATGTTCCCACACTAGATTATACCACACCTGTAAGAAGGGAGAATATGTTTAAGATTCTCTTTCCCATTCTGTAGCCAAGGAATCTGAGAAATATATGCAAAATTTAACTACTTTTTATTCGTTTGGCAGGAATCAGTTTTCCAGGGATTTCTCACTTATATCAGCAAGGTAAGTTCTGAATACCAAGTTGTAAGGGGAGTACTTTTGAATTAGATGATCAATGGAGCATAGAGGCGTGAGAAAGGAATCATATTAGGATGTGAAACCATCTAGAGTATGGTACAATGTAACTTCATGGCACAAGCTAATTGTAAGGTCCATTGTGCTTTTTAGCAAGTCAGCCTGATATCCCCTATTATCAGAGCTGAGTTTCTTCCTTGGTTTTGCTACATATTGCAAGATAGATACATCTACCCTTGAAACACAATAGTAGAGGTCATACATAGGGGTGAGAAAGATGATGGTGGGAGGAAGATTATGTGGGCAGGGGTCGCTCGCCCCTTGCCCCCACAAGTAGGGCATGCACAGACCGTTGCCATTAGGTAATGATTAGGCAGTGTTTGGCTGCCATTCAGACATCACCTTATACTACGTACTGGCCCTACGTAGTATAATGTGGAACTGATAAATATGGGGTGTCAGGATTGCTGAGGGGAGCGATACTCATCCTACCATCGAGACTGTGTTGCTCCGCGGGGACGCCCGCTAAGCATGGGTACTGACCAGCTGCTGCAGATCCTGGTAGCCCTGGCCTGTCTGTGTGGGTAAGCACAGTTTTTGATAGGAAGCAACCGAGAGAACTAACTTTTTAACCTTTTAGTCCTTTTAGTGTCCCTTTAATTCCCCTTTATTATTGAATAAGTTGTTCCCTTTTACTATCATAGTATTTTTCCTTTAATTTCCCCTTTACTAACCAATATCATGTTATCCATAATGTAGTGTTAAGATCCCTTTTTTGGCATCCCTTTTATTAGTTAAGATTACACCGTATTGTATGCTGTTCGTAGTATTTGTTTTAAGAACACACGATAAGGTAGTTATTTTGTATCTCTTTAGTTTTTGGTTCTTTCACTAAGTTTATTATTATTATTACTATTTTCACTGTAATAAAGATGTTTTGTGTGTATGAATATCTGTGCACTTGTTTTATTCCGGGCATGTATCCTAACGAACTGTTACATAAATCCAGATAAATTGTTCAGAAAAATGTACATTTATTTCTTCAACTTCTACTATTCATGGTGCTGTGGTTAGAACAAGTTATCTAAAAGCAAGAACAGTTTGGGTGCTGCATGCCCATCGTACCAGCATCACCTAAGGCTATATTGGTTATCACAGGGGTTGGAGGAAAAAATGTCTAAGCATGTGAGATGAAAAAGTGAAGGCAGTGACATAGCTGTGTGCAGATCAAAGAGAGTTAAAAAGTTTGTTTTCCTACACTGCAAGGAGACCTTACCTGCCAGTAGTGGGACACACGAGAGAGTTTCAGCTGAAAGTCACCCACACACAGAAAAATAATTATTAAAAAAAAAAAAGTGGTAGATTTTGCAACCAAGTAAAAGCCCCAGAGCAGAAAGCAGGTTGTATGGAACTTTCAGTATGAGCACTTACCCAAGAGGTACCCTAGATACAGCAGGCTAGTGTGAACAACCAGAAAGTCCACCCTGAAGCTGAGAAGCTTGTGCAAATGGGACCAAATATCATATATTTGCATGAAAGAAATTGTACCAATTAAACACTCCTTCCTGGACAGCTTTATTCAGAGGAGCAGTGCACCTCAGGGAACATTCCCAAATCATGCTGTAGGCAATTTCACATACTCAAGAACAAGTAATTGCCTTTCAAGTTGATCAAAACTCAGATGCCAAGTATTTGTTGTATTCCATTAATAGTTGTTCCTATTCTTTTTGTTTCTCTGCAGCACATTAATTTATACATCAACATCCCAACAGCTCCCTGGAGGCAGGCAGCTTCCCTCCAGTTGGCAGTATTTCATCAGCAATGGGCTTCTTCGCTCAATTTTATTTGCATCTGCCGTCTCCTTGTCAAACTTCTGTGCACATTTATTATTGTTTTCGGTTTGCTATTTCATTCAATTACTTAAAGGTTTTGAGCCCTAGGGATAATCTTGTTGTAAATTGTTTGTGTACTGACACTTCACTTAATTGTATTAAATGCCAGGATCTGCATTTAAAACAGCATTAGCCATACGGCACAGTCACACAGAGACTTATGAGTTGGTGAATGTTACAAAGGGGCATAGCACCGGAAAGAAGGATCCCCCAGCCACACTCTCAGGAATGTCTGTGCTAAAATGCTACTTTGTGTTGGAGTGGTTGGTGTCAGACGTATCCTGCTTCTCTAAGTATTTGAGGTACATAACCAAACAACTGCATGTTGCTGGCATGTATCAGTCCCCATCCTGCACTGATACATAATTCTTTTCCCTAGAACTTCATGAAGCACAGACCTGACTAAGATTCCTCCTGACTAAGATTCTTTCAATATAGATGTTTTCTGACTTCTGCTTCCTATGTAGAAAATGTTTAAGAAATAAATTATGCACCTTCTTGTTCACAGTTATTTAATTTAACTCATACTATACACGCGTATTCCCTGCACTTTGTTTCCACATCTACATCAATTTGGAAGGGGAGCATTCTGGAAGAGACCTGGGTGCTGATCTTATTAACCTATCACATAGACCTAAAACTCCCTGGAGACTTTTGGAATAACTGACCCAATACTGTATCCATCAAAGCCTGACACTGGTCAAGTGTCATCCACCAACTCTGATGCCATCCAAACTTTCAACAGAACATCATAAAACCATAGAATCAACCAGGTTGGAAAAGACCTCTGAGGTCATCAAGTCCAACCCTTGATCCAACACTGCCATGGTTACTAGACCATGGCACTAAGTGCCACATCCAGTCTCATCTTAAAAACCTCCAGGGATGGAGAATCCACGACTTCCTTGGGCAGCCCATTCCAATGCCTGATTACCCTCTCTGTAAAAACTTTTTTCCTAATATTCAACCTAAACCTCCCCTGCCACAGCTTAAGACCATGCCCTCTTGTCCTATTGCTGGTTGCCTGGGAGAAGAGACCAACCCCCACCTGGCTACAGCCTCCTTTCAGGGAGTTGTAGAGAGTGATGAGGTCTCCCCTGAGCCTTTTCTTCTCCAAGCTAAACAACCCCAAGTCCCTCAGCCTCTCCTCACAGGACTTATGCTCCAGTCCCTTTACCAGCCTTGTTGCTCTTCTCTGGACCTGCTCCAGCACCTCAACATCCTTCCTAAACTGAGGGGCCCAGAGTTGGACACAGTACTCGAGGTGTGGCCTCACCAGCACTGAGTACAGGGGAAGAATCACTTCCCTGGGTCTGTTGGCCACACTGTTCCTGATCCAGGCCAGGATGCCATTGGCCTTCTTGGCCACCTGGGCACACTGCTGGCTCATGTTCAGCTTCCTGTCAGTCAGTAGCCCCAGGTCCCTTTCTGCCTGGCTGCCCTCCAGCCACTCTGTGCCCAGCCTATAGGGGGTTGTTGTGGCCAAGTGGAGGACCCAACACTTGGCCTTGTTGAACCTCATCCCACTGGAATCAGCCCAACTCTCCAGCTTGTCCAGGTCCTCTGAAGAGCCCTCCTGCCTTCTAGGAGATCAATACTCCCCCACAGCTTGGTGTCATCTGCAAATTTGCTAATGGTACACTCAATGCCCTCATCTAGATCATCAATAAAGATATTAAAACAGAAAAAGTCTTGACTTGTGGAGCAAGGTGAGTATCTGTATCAGTTTCAGAGTCAATCATATTATAAAAATAAAATGATTTCACACAGTATCAAGGCTGACTTTTTCTTAACAGCATGAACTTAACTATAACCCAGCACAGATTACACAAGGTGTTCATGGTGTTGAAAACTCTTTCAGAGAGAATGTCTCTACAGCTCCTGCTGAGTGCACTGACCAAACTGCCACCAAATAACACCATTGCTAGTAACTCCAAGCACCATGATGTATTATTTCCCATTAAATCCTGTCTGTATAATACAGAGTAAAGGAATTAAATAACGAGCCATTGAGTGGCATTTGTGGAGGAGTTATTGGTAGGCTGGTGTAGAAATCAGATGAGACACATTCCTCAGTTCCAAGAAACATATGCACTTGCTTTGGTTTTCCTCTGTTGTACATTGTGCTTCCCAAACAAACAGGATCATTCAGCTTTGATGCTTCAGTGGGGTCAGCTATGAGTGAATATGGTGATTTGTCTCATTAATTTTGTTTAATTGACTTATAAATCCTCAAGTGACAAAAGCAATTCTGCATAAACATAAATCCTAGTTTTTCAGTAACAAACTTCCATCCTTTACTGCTAGACCTGGCTTTACCCTTCAATCCCTAAACAAAACTCCAGGTAAGTTTTCAATTGATTTCTCAATATAAGGTGAAATAATAATTATAGCTGAGAAAGCAGAGCCATACACAGCTGTTATGGAATCATTGTTGAGGGATAAGATCACATGCTTTCCAATTCTCAGAAACTGATTTTCTTTTCATTAAATAAATGGAGATATGCCAAATGGTTTTGCATACTTCTTCTACACTAGATGCCTTCCTAATAATGTTTGTCCTGCCTCCAGACACGTTCTTATTCTTCTTCCATTCAAACCAATAACTAAACTCCCCATGGCAAAGGAACTGAGCTCTAGCACAGCATTTTAGCAGCTGAGATTTTAAAGTCCTTGAAATGCAAGGAGAACACTTGCTTTATTTCCTTAGAAAGGGATACCTAAATAAATTAGTCAAAGGATGTTCGGCTCAGTGGTAGCAGAGAGACTGAATTCAAGTAGTATCAATTGTTCAGGTCATAGAGTATGTTTATGTTGGTTGAACTTTCATAACTGGAGGTAAAGAGCTAGTAAGAAGATTAGAGAGGGAGAAAAGAAATATGGATATTTTTTAAGGTTGGAAGATACCAGTACTTCTAATAAAGCAACTTATGTGTCTTCTTCAAGGCCAAGAGCCAGAGGCAGAAGATACTCTTCATCAAGACAAATTTTATCCTCTTTTGGGGAATGTATGGAAGAGGAATGATGTTAATTGTATCACCTAATGTACATCAGGTATGGAAGCATATAAAAGGTACATAAGAATCTGGAAAATTAAGTTGTTTAATACACGGAAAATTTCCTTTATCAGTGACCTGGCAACAGTATTTGTATTTTCTTTTTCCTTTATTAAGCCTCCCCCTTCTGCTCTTCTCAACTCATACTGAAAAGAACTCAGTATTTGAAATCTCAGTGTGACATATTCATGGCAAACCAATTCATGCAAAGTAACAAAGCAATACTCAGAGAGAAAATAGCATGCAACCAGTAAAGCTCAATTTTTAATGAGAAAATGGCAGGTTTTGCATGAAGCAGATATAAATCAATGTCAAGCACTAACACTTCAACTTAACTACTCAGCATTTCTGGGCACTTATAAAACACTGCTTGAACTTTGTCTTGCTGTCAGTGGTAGGCTGGAAATTAATTGCTATTTTGACACAAGGAAAGAGGAAAACTATGTATGAAGATGGATATGCACGTTAGCATTAAAATGCCAGAACATGTTAATGGAGATGTCAAACAGCAGTATTGGTTCAGACAGCAAATGCTGTGACAAGTGCTTAATGAAGCTTATCCCTTGTAGCCCTCATTAAAGCCATTACAAACATCTTGTGCCCTCTCAGGCACAGTTGCCAGTGTTTCCTGGCTCGTGTAGCTCCTGTGCAGCAAAGGAACACAGATTGTTACCTTGCGGTTGGTCTCACTGTGATAAACAAATGCTGTATTGTTCATGACCACTAATCTCAAATGCACCATAAATCCAAAATTATAACTTAGTGGAGTTTCTTCATAGGGAAGATTTAAAGCAAAGTTTGAGCCAATCCCAAATATAACTCTCGGACTGTATTGGTCAGAAAACTGTCTGGAATCAGAGTCCAGTACCAAGTCCATTTGGTGACTGTAGTGGCTTCAAAAACCAACTTGAGTATTTGTAGATGAAGGAATAAAGAAAGTCCTGTCAGTTCAAAACAGCAACAGCATTCTTGGAAAAGTAGCTAGGTTGCATCTTTCATTGTGATTTCATAATCATTTTCTGGTCCACAACTTGAGATTCTGAAACTGTTTTGCTGAGTCAAGAAAATGAACTGGCAGTGCCACAGTACAAGGTACATAACAGGGTGTTCAGCTGTGGATTTGTTTCATCTGTTCCAGCTTCCACTGATTATCTTACTTTTTATCATACACACTTGATTTAAAGGGTGTTTGAGGGAAAAGTGTCTCCTGGACAGCTCAAGGAGGAAGCATGGAATTAGTTTAGAATAGAGGAAAAAATGAGTGAAAGGACAGGAGGACAAGAAAGCTTGTTTAATTCAGCAGTTGACAAAGTGTTTAAGGGGAGAAAAAAAACCCAAAACCAAAAACAAACACAAAACCAAACTCAAGAGTTATTGTCAATAGTAAAAAGTAAAAGATGTTTCAGTATTCCAAAGGCTATTTCGTAGCTTGTAGGTGCACTGAGAAAAACCATCATGCCCTAACTGCTAGATGTTGCCCTCAACATTTCTTTATTTTTTAAACATTGTATATTTAACTGTAACAACTCCTAGAACCTTGCAAGATTCTCATTTTCCCTAGCTAAAGAAATGCACAAAAATCCTTCTCTTTTAGCAAACAGCACTAAACATATTACAGATATACTGAAAATATTAATAATTTATAACAGCCTCTCAAAAATAAATCAGTATGGACTGTTTTAAGGTTCCCCCTGTTGCAGGTAATATCAAGAGACTAGTGAAAAAGAATATATTTACAAGAAATATATTTCACTGTCCGAATTGTCTGTTCTTTATTTAGGAACTGGTAAGCATTCACCAATAGGAAAAACACTAGAACTGTAGTTTCAAAGTA